ATTATTCCAAAAATTATGGTTTAAACTTTAAAATAATAAAAATATCTTAACCTTTAACAATACTCGAAAGACCAAAATATTTAAATTATTTTCAGAAAGATAATTTAATGATTAAAAGCCTAGAGTTCAAGTTGTATTATTATAAATTTGAGTTGTTAGTCTTTTTTCATCTTTTTCAGCTGGATATTTTTTATTTTTTTTATTAACTATGTAAATTAGGGGTGTACATGGAACGGGTTGGTTCGGTTTTTATCAAAACCAAACCAAACCAATTATATCGGTTTGGATTGTTCGGTTTTGTTGGATTTTTCAAATTTTTTGTTACATAAATATTATTTCAATCTTACTTTGTTAAATTTTTTAGAACTAAATATATGTTGAGTAAAAATTAAAAAATTGACAAACATACGATCTATAAAAATATTCGTATGGGAGAATTTTCTTAGTAATTGAAATTCATGAGTTTTGTCAAGTGAAATTGGTAACGAAAATAGAGAAGACATCAGTAATGGAGGAAATCGGTTAAGGGAGAAAGAAAAAGGAAAAAAAAGAGAAGAAAAGAAAAAAGAAGGAAGAAAAGATAACGGTAAAGAAAAAAAGTACTAATAAAAAGGAAATAGTGTTTGTAATACACTTTAATACAATTAACGAAAGAACTAATTAGTTTGGGTGGATTCCATTTCGAAAAGGACATATATAGGCCAACTGTGTAACTCTAAGGGTATATATGGCCCAACTATGTGATGGTAAGGGTATATTTGAGCTAAAATATTAACGAATGACAAATATGCTCAATTTCGTATAGTACAATGGCATATTTGGACCTTTTCCATTCTTTTTTTAACAAATATAGAGAAGAAGGATTTGCAACTGCTATGATTTCTGCCAAGGAAATTACATTTGAAATGAATATCGAACCCGAATTTCGTAAGAAACGTGTGATATCTAGGAAGAAAAGATTTGATGAGAATGTTGATAATGAAATCTCAAAGTCTCTTGAAGAGTCCTTTAGAGTTGATTACTTTTAATACATAGTAGACAATGCTATTTTTTCACTTCAAAATAGATTTGAACAATTTGAAGCATATGAAAATATTTTTGGTTTTATATTTAGTGGTAAAAAACTAAGATCACTAAATGATGGAAATTTAAAAATACATTGCCTTAATCTTCAATTTTTCTTAAAGCATAATAATGAATCTGATATTGATGGTTTAGATTTATTTTCTGATTTGAAAGTATTAAGGAAAATAGTACAAGTAGAAGATAATAGTTTAATCGATATACTCAATCAAATAAAGAGATTTGATTCTTTTTCAAATACTTATATTGCTTATAGAATAATGTTAACAATTCCAGTTACCGTTGCTTCAGCAGAAAGAAGTTTTTCAAAATTAAAATTGATAAAATCTTTCTTTTCAAAATTAAAATTAATAAAATCTAACCTATGATCAACAATGTCTCAAAAGAGATTAAATGGGTTAGCTATATTGTCAATTAAGAAAGACTTATTAGGAGAAATTGATTATAAAAAAATTATTAGTAACTTTGCATCTAAAAAAGCTAGAAAAATTGACTTCAAATAATAAAAAAAATTAAAACATTAAGGCCAATCATTAAGGTTTGGCTTTAGGCCCCAAAATACGTCGGACCGCCCTTGCTAACGTATTCTTTTTAAAGTATATAGACATCAATAATGTAAATGTTCTATACTATAAGTATGAATTTTATCAATTATAACAGATACATGTTATAGATCGGATGAAGTTAAAAAAAAGTGTACGTGGTCTGTTCAAGATTGAAGTTAGGTAAGTTGTAAACGTTTCAAGTCTTGTCCTACGATGGGATGGTTGAAGATGAAAAATTCTGACAGATGACCAACACAGTTGGGCCAATAGAGAACCTCATAAGTCAAGAATATATTAATAAGGCTCCCTTGTGAAACCAACAGAACAAAAATAGGTTTAAATGCGAAATTGAAGAGAACAATTTTTTCGAGAGAAAGAAAAGGAGGTGACCGACCAAGCTGGTCTACCTCGTTAATGGCACGGTAGGCAAGGCAAGGTCCCTTTTCTGTGGAAACAAGTAAACTGAAAGAAAAAGAACTACTGTAGAATGAATATAACACGCCGACAACAGGGCGATAGCACAGTTTAGTAATTTTTCCAATTTTATTTTCACTATTTTTCCCTAGTTATGAGTTAAATTTTATCATGTTAATCTTTACAAATATCTCCAACTCGTATGAGCTTCTAACATAAGACTTTGTTTACATACCATATATATCTAACAAATAATTAATTTTACGTCATGCCATTGCACCTCGCAAAAATTGTTGAAAAAGGAAAACACGTGGTTTGCTGGAACATAGGATGACAGTGTAAATTAAATAGTAAACAACTTCATTTGATGCGTAATCACTGATCGACATTATCATCATCATCATCTTCTTTTTCCCGTTCAGGCGTGCAGCAGTACTATTCAAACTTTGATAGATGTACAGGAAGTTGCCGAGAACTTACAACATAGCTAATATTATCTCAGCGGTTGTGTGTACGCAGACTTGACCCTACCTTGTGAGGTTAAAGAGGTTGTTTCCAATAAATATTCGGCTCAGGACTGATAAGCATAAAATAGTTAAAAATAATTAATCTTCTGTCTATTAAAATAGTACTCTCTCCGTTTTAATTTATGTGAACATGTTTGACTGGGCATGGAGTTTAATAAAAAAATAAAAAAATTTGGAATTTGTGGTTCTAAACAAGTCAAAAAGGGCCTCAGAGTATTTGTGTGATTATAAAAGCTTCTCATTAAGGATAGAATTGTAAGTTTAAGCTAAATTGTTACCAAATTTAGAAAGAAGTCATTCTTTTTGATACGGACCAAAAAAGAAATAGGTTAACGTAAACCGGAACAAAGTTAGTAACAATTAATATCGACCAAAGCCATACAGCCTATTTAATGTACTTGTTTGTAACTTAGAAGGAAGTTTCTTGGGGAGCTTTTGGCCACACTTCACCAGCATGACAACAGCCTAGCAAAAGTACACCTGGTGTACGGTGAATATTGTCTCATTATTATTCCCACCCGTACAAAATTATATGCTAGTAGTAGTTGAACTGCATAACAACAAAGCTGGCATAAGATCTCATGATCTGCCTAATTTATACGATATTAAATTTGGTGTATGAACAGGATCTATCCTTTTTTAATTTCTTTTTTCTTTGGATAGAAAAGAAACATATTATACATAGCTAAAATGCATCATTACAACTTAAGGGGTGTGAGCGGATCGTGGTGGTTCCTATCACGTATGCTAAATAAGCTTTATATGGATACACGGGAAGAATAGCTACTCCGTTCTGCTCCCTGTATCAAACAACTTGAAAGATACAACTCGAGTTTACAAACTCTTGCAAACCTAAGGATTAACTCTAACCCTTGTAGCAATACGTCACAGGTTGTTGCGACTACTTCAAGTTAACTCTAACTTGAATGATACAACTCAGGTACCTAGTACAATTTGCTTCTAAGAAAGCTAAAAGATATAACTCAAAACGCCTACTACACTTTGAACTAGAAATAAAGAAAGACACATAAAACTCTTTATGAAATTTGTTCTTCAATCTGGTTCGTATAGCTTCAGGATCACACTCTTTAATCTCACAATAATTGCTCACAAAATGCCTTACTATTTTGCTCTCAATTCAGCTTTTACTTCAATACATGTAAGTCGCCTATAAAAAGAGAACAATACCGATATATATAGAGTTAGTAAACAAAGAGTAACTAGAAGTCTAATGCTTTACTCTTCCTTGGTAGAAGAGTTCTAGTTAACTTCAATCTCTAACTCTTTCCTTATCTAGGATAGAGTTCTCTTTAAGTAAGTAGTCATGCTCCTTATCAATTATGCAATCTTTTCGTTTAGGAAATATCAGATATAACCACTTATACTTATCCCCTTCACATGCATTCCTTGTGCTTGAATCTGACCATGCCCTATGTATATTGTCCATGGACCTGGTTCATGCATGTGTTCCTTTGTAAATCATCAAAACTAAAACCTCTTAGGTCAACAAATTTTTCATTTTTGATGATGACAAACTCTGTGGTTTTCAGAAGCATCAAACCTGTTTCAACTTAGCTCAACATCAAACATAATATTAGAACACTTTCCATTAAAGTCACAAATCATCAAGGACCGGGTTCATTAGCTTATAAATATCACAGTCCAAAGCAAAAACACAACCTATCTTCCCCTTTTGGCATCATCAAAAAGTTGCATAATTAAGTTAAGTAACCAGATTTTAGCAGATCTTACTCATGGCCATTGAGGCTACTTCAAATGCAATCATGGATTCAATTTTCTCTTAACAATCTAAGGATATTAGCCATGTAAAAAATATCAACAAACAATTAGAGCAAAGGCAGTGAATTTTATTGATAAGATTCTTTCACAAGGTATAAAAAGAAATAAAAGCACTGAACCATGAGCAAAAAAGCAAATAAAAACATCTCACTTAGGTCACTGGTTACAAACTAGGATTAGGAAGGATTTAGGACTGGGAAGGACCAGGTTCTTGGTTCTTGGCTTGAAGCAGCTTCAGCGTATCTTAAAGAATACCACCATTCTTCTCCTTTTACTTAGCAAGCACACACTTGAGAGAGTCTCTCCCAAACTCTAATCCAGCCAATCGTTTCTTCAGCCGTTCAATCTCAGCATCCTTAGCCATTTTCTTCCATTATTTGAGCCTCCTTGCTCCTTTCGGCAGACCTAGTTATTTTAGACACAATTGAGCCATCAGCCTCAACCTATGTTTCTCAAGAATTTTTTTGAGAAGTTTTTTCCTTTTTGGCACTAGGTGTGGGTACTTCCACATCCTCATATTCATCTTCAAGAACCAGGTTCAACTCCTCAATACTTGCCAGCCTTTTTTCTTTCCTTTCCAAGCGACTTTCTTAGCACTCTAAGCTAAGGCCCTTTTTACATTGGCCTCACTCTACTTCTTCTGGATCCTTGTAGTTCTTCCTCTTATGAGAGGTGTTGCTACAGAGATAGAATGGGCACTCCTTCTCTTAGTGCCACCCATGCCCTTTCCTACGGTCTTTCCAACTTTGCTCTTCCTCTTTTCATTGTACCTATCTGACACTTTTGCAGCAGATGAAGACTCTTGTCTATTTTAGCAAGAGAAGGAATTGGTTCATAAAACCATTTCCTTAACCTAACAAACCCATCTGTTGCACTTCTCTCACCAGAACCATCACTTATCTCCTGTGATTCTATCCCCATACTTTCATTCATAGTCTCCTCATTATCACTAATCTCTTCACTCCAGACCACCATTGCACCTGTCTCCTCATGTAATTCATAACATATGGGTGAATCAAATCCAGTCATTTGTTTTTCCACCCCTCCTCGCATTAGCCTCAACACCCTCGCTCTCATTTTATTTTTATTTTTTATTTTTACCACCAATGTCTTCAGTAACAATATTTCCCTTTTCAATACCAGCCATAAACCCAACCAAAACAAATCGATTCTCAAGATTTTTTGCCATTTCAGAACCAAATTCAGAGGTGGCAGAATTTTGTGGTTCTTCTACTTGACTGACTTGTAGCTTCTCATTTAATTTCTTGGATTATTCTTTACTTGCTATTGTTTTACGTGCAATCATTTTGATATGCCTTTTCTTGGGGGTTTGGGTGGTTGAAAGTGTGGGTGAAGGTTCTTTGGGTGGTAAGGAAGGATTTCAGATATTTTGGGATTCTCATCGATGTTTTCCATTTGATCAGTTCAGAAACTTGAGAGAAATGGAGAGAGTTTTGAGGTTTTGATGATTTTGATCTTTCAAAAAAATTTGAGATAAGAGGGTAAGGTCAAATCTATTTAAAGAGGGAAAAGGTTGAGTGTGTAATAAAAACTTTTTGGAGATTATAAGTTTTTTCATCTTGGGAGTTTCAGATTTAAGAGACGTCCTACTCTTCGCCAAAAATATTAGGCAATTATGGCGTACGGGGTTTTGTTTGGTGAAACTAGTTCGTTTGTAACAGATTGGTTCAAAAAGAGGTTGGGATAATGTGGGACTCCTTTCAGATCATGATCCTAATACGATTATTTTAAAATATGCAGAGTGGAGAATACATATCTTATAAGTTCGATGAACCAGGTTCTTCACTGAAAGTTTTCTTATGTAAGACTGAATTTTTCAAGAAAATAAGGATAATATTATTAGATATCAGTGAGACATTTTAGCACATGGCACAAGAGTATACTAATTGAGAAATATCTAATCTAATTATTTACAAAATTCATAAATTAGCTAACCAATCACTGAGTTAGAACTGGTTCTTTTTAGGTGATGTTAATCATCCCTAATTCTAACATGTTCCATTCAAAGTGATCTCTACTTAGAGCTTTTGTGAAGATGTCAACTATTTGCTTATCAGTAGCACAAAATTCCACAGTGATCAAACTCTTCTCAAAGTTGTCCCTAAAAAAATGATGCCTAACATCTATGTGCTTAGTTCTTTTGTGATGAACCGAGTTCTTGGTCATACTAATTGCACTAGTGTTGTCATAAAAGATAGGGATACAACCTACATCAATTCTAAAATCCATTAATTGCTACTTAATCCACAATAATTAAGCACAATATGAGGCATCAGCCACATACTCAGCTTCAGCAGTAGACAAAACCATAGAATTTTGCTTTTTGGTGGCCCAAGACACAAGACATGAGCCAAGAAAATGTGTCATACCTGAGATGCTCTTTCTATCAACAGGAAATCCTGCATAATCAGCATCACCATCTCCCACAAATCAAAATTACTACCTTTGGATACCATATGCAAAGATCAGTGGTGTATTTTAGGTATCTCAAGATCCTCTTGACATCCTTCAAGTGAGACTCCTTTGGATTTGCCTGGAATCTAGCAAAAAGGCATACACTGAAAATAATGTCATGTATACTAGCATTGGGATATAACAAAGATCCAATCATTTCCCTATACATTTTCTAATCAAAAGATGAACCAGGTTCATCCAAATCCAATATTGTGGTTATTGCAATAAGAGTGTCAATTTCTTTGGATGTTCCTTCTTGGTTTTGTTGCTGAGGAATAGGTTCATAGATAGGTTCCCTCGAGGTTTGAGGATTAGTTCCCCTCTGGTCAACTCCCCCTATCAGGTGGCCCTTGATGGAAGGACCAGTTCCATCACATGTTCCTTCCTGTGATGCAGTTTCAGGTTGGACTGTTGTTTCAGCATTTGAATTTTTCGTCAGCACAATCTCTTCATCATTCATTTCCTTCCTCTCTGAAAGAATATTAGCTTAATCAAAAATAACATGTACACTTTCTTCTACACATATAGTTCCTTTTTTGTATATCTTATATGTTTTACTATGTGAAGAATATCCCAAGAATACTCCCTCATCACTTCTGGGATCAAACTTACCTAGGGAGTCTTTTTCATTATTGTGCACAAAACACTTACATCCAAATGCCCTAAGGTGGGATATATTTGGCTCTCTCTTTTAAGTAACTCATAGGGAGTCTTCTCAATAAGAGGGCTAGTCATGCACCTATTTATAATGTAGCATGCAGTGTTTACAGCTTCAGCCCATAAGCTATGAAGCAATTTACTAGCAAGTAGCATAGTCCTAACCATTTCCTCAAAAGTCCTATTCTTTCTTTCAACTACTCCATTTTGTTGAGGAGTTCTAGGAGCAGAGAAATTATCATCTATGCCATACTCATCACAAAATTCAAAAACTTTAGCATTCTCAATCTTAGTACCATGATCAGACCTAATTGATGCAAGTTGATTACCTAGTTGTTTCTCAGTTTTTCTAACAAATGAAGAGAACATGTCAAATACTTCATCTTTAGATGTTCTAAACAGTGTCCAAATAAACCTAGAGTAATCGTCAACAAGCACTCATTGTCCTTATTGGTCCACACAGATCTGTATGGACCAGTTCCATCGACTTGGTAGTACTTACCATTTTCTTACTTTTAAAAGAGGATCTTACCTGTTTCCTCCTTGCACAAGCCTCACAAAATTTATCTTACTTGAACTTAATATTAGGCAGTCTTATTACCAAGTCCTTGGAGATTAGTTTGTTGAGATGAGTTAGACTTGTATGTCCAAGTTTCTTGTGCCAAAGGAGGGGATCATTGTCTAACACACTTAAGCAAGTGAGTTCATTATCTGACAGTGTGGACAGATCCACCATATATATGTTATTCACTTTTTTTTCCTGCAAAACTACCTTGTCAGTGGTAAGATTTATCACAAAGTATTTTGTAGAGGTAAAAGCAACCATGTTTCCTCTACCACACAACTCCGATACACTTATCAAACTGTATTTCAATCCATCTATCAGGTAGGCATTCTCAACAGAGTGAGAATCAGATTTACCTATCTTTCCAACCCCAATGATCTCACCTTTCTTTCTATTTCTGAAGGAGACATTACCTCCTTTAAGGTCATCAAGTGAAAGGAACTGGTTCTTGTACCATATTTGGCTGCTCCCCTTCACTTGGACCTGCAAAAAGAAATTATGGATTAGTCTTAGAAATTCAAACTAGTTTGGGTTCATTTCTATAGGGAAAAGGAGAAATCAAAATTGTTTTAGCCCAACTTGGTAGCCTATTTTTCCCTATAAATTTTTTTGTTCTTTTGACTTGACTTTTCTTTTGCAACGCATTCACTCTTTTATGACCAGTGTTACCACATTGTGTGCAAATTTTATTCTCAGGGAATGTGAGGTACTTGCTTTTGGGATCCCACTTAGGTGCAGAGTTCCCAAAGCCAAGTCCACTTCTGTTGCTACTATGGTGTTCTTGTAGCCATAAAAGTGTATCAGAGGACCTGTTCCATTTACATATTCTATCTAGCTCATGCTTAACCTTAGTCAAGTCCTTCTTCAGGATTCTTACCAGTTCATCCTTTTTATAAAGCTCATCTTTTACCTTTCCTAGATACTTTTTCTAGTAAGAGTTGTGTGTCACTAGCTATTTATTTACCTGTTCCTAACTTCAATTTTAGATTTCAGATCTAAGTTCTAGAACAGATGTGTTAAGTGCATGAACCTGGTTCTTCAAAGCAATATTTTCTTTTCAGTTTCACAAGCCTTAATTTTCAGGTTTTTGCTTTCTACTTTTGAAAAGTTACACTCTTTTGACAACTGTTCTTTTTCAAAACTTATATTCTTAGACTCATCAATTAATGTTAGCAACAATTGTGATAGTCTATCTTTAGAAAGAAATTTAATTTTATCTTTTAGCTCTAGAAGACTTATTTCAGATTCTTCATCAGATTCATCATCGAATTCTTGAATTGTTATAAGAGCTCGTTCAGCATCATCATCATCATCATCATCATCATCATTATCAATGTCCTCATCTGAGCTGTCTTCCCAAGCAGCAACCATTGCTTTGGATGGACCTTTGTTATATTTCTTCTTATCATAAGCATATTCTTTCTTTTTGTTTCTTCTTCTAGATCTCTTATTTTTCCACTCGACTTCCCACATAGGACAGTTCTTGATCATATGGTTCTTTTTACTACACTTGAAGCATCCATCGGTCACTTGAACGTGATTTCTTATCCTCTCATTCCACCAAGAATAGTAGTGACTATTGAATAGTGGTTGCCTATTGGTGGATTAGTCTTTACAGTTTCTAGGTAGTGTACTCATCTTGATCTTTTCCTAAGGTGTTTGCCTCATTAAGGATAACCTGCTCTGATACCAATTGATGTTTTATAATTCAATACGACACAAGAGGGAGGGAGGGTGATTTGTGTGGTCTCTAATTTTCCGCGTGCATAGATTATAGAAGGACCTAGTTCTTCTATGCATTCCTTATACTACATTTGAGAAATAAATAATGCAGAAATAAAGAACACAAGGATTTTTATGTGAAAAATACTCGTCTCAAAAGGTGAAAAAAATCACGACCTACTATACCAATAGGATTTTCCCCAAATACTTCACTACAACTCTAAGCAAACAACAAAGTTAGTAAACTCTTGTAAACCTAAGGATTAACTCTAACCCTTGTAGCAACAAACCACAAGTTATTTCGATTACTTCAAGTTAACTCTAACTTGAAAGATACAACTCAAATTTACAACCTCTTGCAAACCTAAGGATTAACTCTAATCCTTGTAGTAACATCCATAGGCTGTTGCGACTACTTTATGTTAACTCTAATTTGAATGATACAACTCAGGTACCTAGTATAATTTACTTCTAATAAAGCTGAAAGGTACAACTCAAAATAACTGCTACACTTTGGACTAGAAATAAAGAAAGACACATAAAACTATTTATGAAATTAATTTTTCAATCTGGTTCGTGTAGCTTCAGGATCACACTCTTGAATCTCACAAGAATTGCTCACAAAATGCCTAGCTATTTTGCTCTCAATTCTACTTTTACTTCAGTACATGTGTGTCTCATGTAAAAGAGAACAATACTGATATATATAGAGTTAATAAACAAAGAGTAAGTAGAAGTCTAATGCTTTACTCTTCCTTGGTGGAAGAGTTCTAGTTAACTTTAATCTCTAACTCTTTCCGTATCTAGGATAGACACTACAAGAAATCATAGCTACATTGATATTTATTTAGCAACATATATAATAAATGTCGCAAAAAAACTAATTCTTTGACATTTTTTAAGAAATGACATAAATAAGTGACATATTATAATAAATGACAAAACTATTGAGACTCTTGTAGTGAAGCGTCACAATATTAGTCGATATTTACTGACATTTACCGCTAATGAAGGAAATTTTCTAACTTTATAATGTTTAATATAGAATTAAACACTATTACGAAGGCTGTCTTCTCTAAGAACCCAACCAATCTCTCCCCTTTCCTCAACCCCAATTAGGCGTCCCCCGTTTTATGTTCACTAAACAATCGAGGTCGCCATGTGATGCAGAGAATTGAAAGGGAAAACTACATGGGTGTTAGATTATCCTAGAATTCTAAACATGACAGAAGGTCACCAAAATTTAGGCCGCCTTTTACACACAATCGACTGCCATATTTAATCTATTCTCTGTAATTCTCAAACATCCGGTTGAAGATATTAAGATTTTGGTAAGTATTTTTCTGTTCTAATCTGTTGTTCACTAGATTGAATTTCTGGTTAACTGCCTTTAAAATTTTTGCTACCTTTTCTTTTATTTCCGTCGTATTCTGTTCATATCAACTATTTGAGCAAATGCCTTAGAGGATTAAATAAAATTTAATGGACTGGCTTTATTTTATTAACATAAGGTTAAAGTTTGCGCTTCCTTTGATTCATCTTTTCATGTTGAACTGATTTTGTAATGGTAGTGATGAGATTATTAACATTATTTGGTGGTTCAATCATTCTTAATGCTATAGAACCTTGTATCCATTTACTTGTACATACGGCATTCATCAAACGACGCAAAAAGTAATGAATTAAATTATAGGACTATCTTTGCTTCAACTAGATAGTTTGTTTGATTAGTATTTGTTACTGACAAACTATTCTATATTAAGCCAATGAAATGGCACTCTGTATTGTTTTCCTATAAAAGAGAAAACAACTGAATATTAAATTGATATGAAATGTTTGATAAGATATATATGACTAGTTTAATCTTGATCTTGGTATTTTTGACACGTTAAAACTTTTTTAACGTGTTGAACCTTATTCGCTGATGAATCATGTGATGTTGGATCCAACAGAAGGATATTATATAGTAGCTTGTCTTGTGTTAGAATTATTGTGGTTGTGCTTGATGGCGACTCAAATCCAAACAGCACGGTAAATTAGATTAGAAGAGAATCTTGTTTGTGATGGTTGAATGGAAAAGAAGCCTGTAAATACTTGTTTATGAAGGGAAGGTATCTTGTGATACTTGTAGATTGTGGATGGTGTAGGGTATCTTGTGAATATCAGCTTTATTGGCAATTTATGTTGGATAAGGAACATTAACATTGATGTTAGGACTGAAATTGATCAATCATTCTGTTGAATTCAAGAGTAGAGAAGGAATTAGTAAGCCTGTACAATGATACTAGTGATTGCTAGTTCCTTTTCTACACTGTTAGGAGTTCCGGGTTCAAATATCTTGAGATTTCTACAAAATTATTATTCTTTGCCTCAAGTTGATTAAAAATTCCATTTTGTCAAGGTGATCTTGATATCGTTTCTTTCTACATATGATACCTTAAGACTGGAGAATAATATTTTTTATGTTATTTCTCTTTGATTTTGCTTATTGAAAGTATTATCCACCATTCTCGGGACAATGAAATATGGCAATTAGGAAAAGATTGCAAAAGATGTTCACCTAACGGCTGGCTGAGAAGGGTACATCATTTGTGAAACACTTCCTACAATTGTATGTAACTCCATCTCTATTAGTGGAATGATCTTTTTCATAAGCTAATGATGCCAAATTGATTTAGTTCTCTTAAGCTTCTACTATTTAATGTGGTTTTATGTTTTCTTACAGATAGTAGTAGTCGCATGACTCCTGTATTTCTTCAAGATATTATATGAGGTACAATCGCATTGTTCTTTTTGCTACTTAGTAGTTTTCCTAAATCTTTAGTAATGGTTCTTTTCTTTTTCAATTTCAGTTCTTGGAAGAAGAGTTTAGAGGAATGTGAGAGCAACTAATTTAGAGGAATCCTGGACTTGAGGAAAACACAAACACTAAAGCTAAAACTATGACCGACGATGATTGTTTTGGAACTTTCAAGGGAAAGTTTATGTAATTGAATGTTGAAGTAACTATGTGTTTGATTCAAATTGTTTGTACTGTACTGGGAATTAAAGTATTGGAATGAGCGTCGATGTTACTTTGAATACATTATTGTTAATTAATTATTTTCTTTTAATATTTAGCCATGACTAATAATTATTTTCACATTCATATTAAAAGTCAAAAACTATAAAAAAAAAAAATTAACGACATTTATATATATCTGTCGCAAACACGATAGGTTAAGAACTCAAATTATTGACATTTGATAATGTCATAACTAATGTCACAAATTTTTTGATGACATTAATTTAAATGTCGGGATAAAAAACGACATTGAAATTTTTGAAATTTCATTTAAATGTAAAATAAATGTCGGTAAGTGATTTTGTGACACTTATGTGACTTACGCCGACAGTTATAAAATGTCGTCATATGTCGTATTTCTTGTAGTGAGAGTTCTTTTCAAGTAAGGAGTCCCGCTCCTTATTAATTATGCAACCTTTTCGTTCAGGGAATATCACATATAACCACTTATACTTATCCCTTTCACGTGCATGACTTGTGCTTAAATTTGATCGTGCCCTGTGTTCACTGTCCATGGACCTAATTCATGCATGTGTTCCTTTGTCAATCGTCAAAACTAAAACCACTCAGGTCATCATATGCTCTTTTTTTTTTTTCATGTCCCACGAATTATCTGATTATACTTTTTATACATAAGTTCATTAGTATTATTTAAAAAAAACCAAAGTTCTATGTTTTTTTTTTTTTAATTCTAGAGTCTTGGGAATTAGTGTTAAAGAGAAGATAGATTGATCATTATTTGAAAGCTATCCCTATTAGAAACTTCTATGTTTGGTTCTCGTTACATCTGAAGAAACATACATAACATTCAATAAGTAGAATGTATGCATGAGGTCTTCTTATTTAATTAGTTCTACACATCTAGCAAAAGTTTAACTTATTAAGAAGTGAAATACCAAAAAACAAAAAAGCATAAAACTGNGGATTAAAAGAACACATTCTATTAATTAACTGTTAAATGTGTGCTTTGGTGAATCAAAATAAAAAATTATGTATAATTGACGAGAATTGTTCGAATTACATGTATAACAATCTAATACTATACTAGTGTACTACATTTCCCTATCTTATTCGTCAGCGAAATTAGTATTGCCTTTAACTTTAGCTCTGTAAATTGGGTAAGAAATGAAAACTGAAAATGTAGAACAATTGGAAAGTTGATATATTCTCTTTCTCGAAAGAAGGCTTATATTAAGATTCACCCCAATATCTTTATTGAAAGATAATTACATGATATACCTCTCTATAACAACATCCATATATAATAGTCATTCACTATAAAAATCGAGTTATTCTCGAAACCGAATATTATATTATAATATATGTCCTCTATAACAACACTTTACTATAGCAGCCATAAAATTTCGGAACAAATGAGGCTGTTATAGAAAGATTTTTACAGTATTAATTACACGACTTTGTGTTTTTTCTGTACATGACCTTCCCCAATATGTGTATGTTTGTGTCTCTATCCCTCTCATCCTCTGTATGCATCTATGTTTTCACAATTTACCTTGATATGTCGAAAATTACATAAATAAAATAACAACAATAATACAACAGATCTCATTAAAAGAAAAGTAAAAATCTGAGAGAAAAAAAAGATCGTATTATATGATGGTTTAATAAAATGAAGATAAGAGATTCTAAATGATCTCATATGCTGCATTAATTCTGATGAGTCATATTGTGATTGATTCTGATGAATCATATTGTGGATGTAGTGTGTGCAAGATACGAGTTCATTCGAAACCAGCAGAATTTGGATCAGATCATGTATATATGTTTAAATATTCACCAAGTACAAATAATAGATTTCATTTCCAATAAATCAAATTAATTCTGAATTAGACTCTGATCATGTTGTTAGCCTTTCTCTAGTAGTTTTCGAATGCACCAAACGCTCATCCTTCTTGTTTTTCCTTGGATGCAGCAATTTAGACAGAAACCCTCTTTTCTTCTTCTTCCCGTTATTCTCCATTTCTCCTTCTCCCCTCCTCGTAACAAAAACCAATGACCTACTCTTTGTAAGCATATTATTACTCTTATTACCACTTCTCAAGATAGCCATAGTTTTCATCCTGCGATATGACGGAGAAGAACACGACGAAACATCGGAAGAGGAAGATAAAGAAGACAAAGTTGACGATGAAGAAAAAGAAGAAGTAACGGTTGTAGTATTGCTACGTGAAGTTTTTGAAAGCTTAGAGAGCTTTTCACTTAGACAAATGGAGCAAACCCCTGGCGATTGCTGGTGCTTTGAATGCTTTTTGCATAACATAGTACAGGACTTTGCTTTGTTGATTTGTTGCTGATTTCTGAAAATTCTCCATTTGTTTTCCATTTTTTGTGTTTTTGTTGGGAATTAAGTTGGGGCTTTGAGGGTATAAATAGAATGAAAGGTGCATGGCGTAGGTGGTTTCGGTGATAGTTCATGTGAGTTTCATAGCGTGCTTCTTGAAATATTATTAAACGACTATTTTTGACGAGTTGTCATTTGTTGAGATTTGAAAAGTACTTTGGCTGTTGGCCCAAAATGCAGTGCTGGAAATTGAAATTAAAAAGGGACGGTCAATTTTGGGTAGGCAAAGCAAGTTGTCTTCCGAAAAAGTGGGTTTCTAGGCAGAATTTAAGTTACATGCATTAATATTATAAAATTATTTATGATAATTATTAATTGACAGAGGTTACCTTTTATGCACTTTTACACTATTAGGTTACTTAAATAAGATTACAAATAATCGTTCCTAATAAGTGAAATTAATATATATACATAATAGAAATAAGTTAGGTTATATATATATAAATAATACGCTAAAATACATCGATAGGATATATGAACTATTCATGTTGTCAATGAATATTATAAGTTAAATTCTATTAATGGTACTCTGATTAAAACGGTAATTGACTTGTTATAGTCGGCTAAACACACCAATTGTACAAAAAAATCGGTACTATCAGTTTCTATAACTTAATCTTTGATGGAAAATGGCTTGAAGCGATGACCTAAAGATGGAGAGAAGAACTTACGCCTTGGTGGTTACACAAAATTACATTACTTTACCATGATTAAATAATAAATCAATTAAGATGAAAATAAACATTAATTACTTATAATTAAATAATAAAGTGTTTGCACAAGTTACATGCCATGTTATCAATAATTTAGTTTATAAACGGAGTGAGAGAAAGAAAAAAAGCAATTACGAACGAAATTTGTGACTAATTAATAACTTGTTTGGCCAAGTTTCTAAAATTAACTTATATTTGAAAAGCGTTTTTCTCAAAAATATTTTTCAAAAAAGTAGTTTTGGCTAATTACTTTGAAAAATACTTTTGAAAAGCAATTAGTGTTTGACCAAACTTTAAAGTGCTTCTAATTTTTTTCTGTTTTTCATAAACTACTGCTTCTAGTCAAAAATATTTTTTTCTCTTCTAAAAACTTGCCCAAACATCTTAACTTTGAAAAAATACTTTTAATAGAAAAAAAATATTTTTTGGCCAAAAATAAAAGCTTAGCCAAAAATAAAAGCTTAGCCAAACAGGCTATAAAGAAGCCTAATCATGGTGCACTCTTCCATGTGAAAGTTGGATCTGTTTTCTAATTCCCTCTACTTCAATAGTTATTCGGAAAAAGAAAACTAAAGGTAAATAAAGAATAGATGAAATTTGACGAGGACGACTTTTGTAAGATCAAAATCTAACATTCTTATGCATTTTTTTGTTTAATTATATGGCCACGTTTATTTCAAGTTAGCACATAAATAAACTTCAAATTCCTTACCTATAAACGTTTAATTAAAAATTTTAGGCAGCATATTAAAATCGCTGATTTTACTTCTTTCCTTTTGATATTTAATAAGTGTTCATTGACTTCACTTTTATATGAGATGACAAATCTATTGAACCAACAAAAAATAGGGTGGCGTCCCCCCCTTATCTCAACAACTGCAAATCATCCAAACCCCACTAAACTTTGTCACCCTTAAAAGTTGCAAAGCAGTCAATGAAGCACATAAAGATTGAAAGAGCGAGGAAATTGCTTTATTGAGATGGAAAATATTTGAATTGAAATTGAAAAGAGTACTCGAATTTGAAGTTGTTAACTTGATATTTGTGCGAGCTATGGCGGATTAAAGAGAAAGAAACCGTAGATGAAAGAAAGAAGAAGAGAGAGATGAAGATGAGAAAATGAGTTGCTCAATTCTGTTTTGACCAATCTGTCTTATTATTTATAAATGTGGGCCTCTGTATACATGTACAAATGTGAACCAATTTAATTAAAAGTAAGAGAAGATATTTACAAACTAAAATACAAGGAATTGGGCTGCCTCTCTCAAT